AAAGTAAATCACCTACCGGGGTGGAAAGGCAGATGGCTGTCAGATTTCACAATGATTCTCATTGTGGAAGAAAATGGTGCAATGTCTGCAAAATTTAAAGAAAAGAAAGGGTGACCCCCGATGTAATTCAAACATTACTTGCTTTAATTCTAGTAAAGTACACATGAACACTTGTTGGGAAGAACTGCTTGGTAACGAAAGCCAGCCAATTAAGAGATCAAACAAAATAAAGAGCTCAAGCAGAGAAGCTATGACAGATGAACTGTTTGTAAGCACTGGACCCATTTACATGTAGAACTAACACTAAACAATCATAAAATTATGGTATCAAAACAGAATGTGAACATTATAAATCTGGATTGTGTAAAAATAATGATACAATAAAGATTGGGGAAGTGAGGGAGAGGAGAACAGGGCATCAAGAGAGTGCTAATGTTCTCACCATTTGAAGCTAAGATATCCTATCCAAAATAAAATCATGTGGTAAATAGATCTAAACAATTTTCATAATCAACTTTATTTAACTCTAGAGCAGGGGTACACAAACTACTGCTTGAGGGCTGACCACCTGTTCTTGTAAATAAAATTTTTGTCCATTTGGGCTGCTGTAACGAAATACGATAAACTGGGTGGTTTGTAAACAACAGAAATTTATTTCTCATGGTTTTGGAAGCTGAGAAGTCCAAAATCAAGCTAGTGGCAGATTTGGTGTCTGGTGAGGACCTATTTCCTGGTTCATAGATGGCACCTTCTCTCTGTGTCCTCACATGATGGAGGGGACATGACAGCTCTCTGGGGTCTCTTTTATAAGAGCATTAATTCCATTCATGATGGTTCCATCCTCATGATTTAACCACCCTCCAAAGGCCTCATCTCTTAAAAATATCACATTTGTGATTGTTTCAACATATGAATTTAGGGAGGAGGCTAACATTCAGACCACGGCACACAGCTTCACCCATTTATTTAGACATTGTCTGCATGCTGCTTTCTTACTATCTGAATAACAGATAGTAAGACAACTGATCTGAACAGAGCCCCCATGACTAAAATATTTATTATTTGACCCTTTAAGGAATAATTTGCCAGCCCTTGCAAAGGAATCATTTAATTCAGAGAAATCTTGTGGTAAAGAAATATTATTTGAGGTTTAATAATGTATTAGGTTCCTTTCCACTGTTTTTCCTTCTATTAAATTTATGTAAAATTAATAAGTCCTATTTTTTATACAAGGATGTATCATTCTAAAGAAGTCAGGGATGATGGATCACCTGATGATATTTGGCATGATTTCTTAAGCTTTTGTCTTTTGTATTTCTACACTGCTTGGAATCTTTATAATGGGCATACATGATTTTTACCAGAATAATAAAATAGAATGGTTTTTCTATTTGAAAACACTGGGAGCATATATGCCAGAATATTAACAATGGTTAATTCTGGCTGGTGGGAATATGATAGCTGTTTTCTTATTTACGTTTTTCTATATTTTTTACATTTTCAAAACAATTGTTGGCCGGGTACAGTGGTTCACACCTGTAATCCGAACACTTTGAGAGGCCAAGCAGGAGGATGGCTTGAGCTCAGGATTTCAAGACCAGCCTGGGCAATAGAGCAAAACCCTGTCTTTACAAAAAATTAACCAGGTGTGTTGGTGCACAGCTGTGGTCCCAGCTACCTGGGAGGCTGAGGTGGGAAAATCACCTGAGCTCAGGAGGTCAAGGCTGCAATGAGCTGTGATCATGCCACTGAACTCCAGCCTGGGTGACAGAGTGAGACCCTGTCTTAAAAAAAAATTTAAGCTATTTTAGAAGATTTAGCATCAAGTGATAATGTCCTGAATTCCAGTTTAGGAAATAATAATGAAGAACTAGATAGAAGGGGACATTGTTCTATTTGTAATATGATTTATATACAAACTACAAAGTATGGTTGCAGAATAAAATATAATAAAAAGCACGACAAAAAAAAGAAGCCACAGCAGATGATGTTTGAATTCTTTCAGGCAATCAGCACTTTCATAAAGCTGGTTTCTTTTTTTTTTTGTTTTTTTCCTTTTGAGACGGAGTCTCACTCTGTCACTCAGGCTGGAGTGCTGTGGCACGATCTTGGCTCACTGCAAACTCCACCTCTCAAGTTCAAGCAGTTCTCTGCCTCAGCCTCCTGAGCAGCTGGGATTACAGGTGCCTGCCCCCATACCCAGCTAATTTTTGTATTTTTAGTAGAGATGGGGTTTCACCATGTTGCCCAGGCTGGTCTTGAACTCCTGACCTCATGATCTACCCGCCTCAGCCTCCCAAAGTGCTGGGATTATAGGCATGAGCCACCGCACCTGGCAAAGCTGGTTTCTTTAATTTGCATCAGTCTCAATCTACCTTTCCGGTTTCATTCCCCTGTCCTATGCTCCTTCTCATATCCATGCCCTATGCTCCAGTCACATAGAGCTCCTCCTCATCAGTGAAATCTTCATGTGTAAAATATGCTATTTTGCTCCATTGCTACCACTTTTTCTACCTATAACTGCATCCTCTTCTCCACCTGATATAATTTAGTGCTTTCTTTAAGGTGCAATTTAAATATCACTTATTGCAGTACATCTTAGCTTTGGCTGGGCATCAGAATCACCTTGGGAGCTTTCTAGAAATACCGAGGCCCAGGCCCCAGTCCAGCTATTCTGAGTTAATTGCCCAGGTTGTGGCCCAGGCAGCAGTATTTTTAAAAAGCTCCCTGAGTGATTCTAATATATATCCAGGGCTGAGAGTCACTGCAAAGCCTTCTGCAATACCAGCAGGCAGAGTTAATTACTCCCTCTTCTATACTCCTACAGCCCTTAGCTTTTCCATTGCTCATGAAATGTAATGCTCATTGTGTTAAAGTTAGTGCTGCAGTATATAGTAAGTGCTCAGTAAATGCTGAAGGTTGTTTTCGTTCCTTCACCCACCAACCAAGCATTTGCAGAAGTGGTTATCCTTGCCATGGAATAGGACAGCAGAGTGGGCAGATGTTTCCTATCCAAGATACTATCTGAGGGATTTATTTCTGTAAATGAAAACACTACCTTCCATCCCCCAGCACACACACACACGCACACGCACATGCACGCACACACACGCACACGTCACGTCACTGCCTTTTCAGCATAGTTCTTGGGTCTTGTTTTTGCATTGTTGAGATTGATGTAATTGAAAGAATTAAATGAATGTGCTGATTGCCTGACAGAGTCTGAACATCACCTGCCTACCATCCTCTCCTTTGTGTCATCCTTTATGTTGTGTTTTATATTGGATCCTGCTACTTTAGCTTTCAAGAGCAGTTTGTCAGGTGTTCTTTGTCAAAGGCTTTCAGAAAATCCAGATAAATTATGCTCTGTGTCCTGAAACTGCCAAACCTATATTTTACATAATCACAGTACTTGACAGTTTTATTTAAGTTGAATCTTTCTCTCTTTTTCCAGTTTACCTTTTTCTCACTGACCCGTATATCCTTATATCAATCAGACAAGTGGAGACCCTGCCACTTTTGATATTGAATATCCTCAGCAACATACATACCTTCTAGAGCATAGTGCATTGGATATCTCAGCCTCCCTGATTAGGAGGAGACCCTGGAAGCTGCTTATGTCTGGAGATGAGGTGGGGAGAGGAGAGATGAGGATGAAGGCCAGAAACCAAGGTGGCTCAGCAAGACCAGAGTCTCACAATAAATCTTCTTATGAGTCCCGTACTTATTAAGGCGAGGCTGGTAGCACCTCCCTTTCTCCTTCTGATTCACCTGGGAAGAAACAGATTGCACTAACAGTCTACTCTTTCCTATTCAAAATATTTATTTATTTACTGAACATCATCAAAGTATTTGATCTTCATGGGGTTACCACATCCTGGCAGTGGGGGCCCTAACTCTTTGCCCATACAGACATTTCTCAACTAATAGATACTAATTTTGTAAAGTGATTTCTCCCCCTAGTCTTAATGGAGCTTTCCCTTTCTTTTTCCTTAAAGTCACTATAACCTTGATGGCAATAAGGTATTGTGCAACCAAGTCCAATCCCAAATTTTGCTAATGTAAAATCAGATTAATTTCAGAATTGAATAATCTGTGCATATCTAGTATACTGTATGGCCTGAAACAAATCTAATCTTTGTGTCTTGAGTTCTTTATTAGTTAAATAGCAAACTGTTACCTAGTTCCCTTGGAAGTTATGCAAATTAGTTAATGTTTGGAAAATGACCTGAAAATTCAGTCTACAAATGCCAAACAGTTGCATCTTCCCTGCTGAGAGAGCCCAGGTAATTTATAAACTCGTATAATAAAGGAAAAAATAGTGTACTTGGACTGTACAATCAAATGTGATTTATATGCAATATATGTAATCTTTAAAATCTAGAAACCATTTAATAGAAACAATTCATATTTCATAACTGTAATAAAAGCAGTTTATGACTTTAGGAAAAGTATCTTCTATAACTGATCTAGATATTGTGTCTTTGTAATCATCTCTGAGATCTGCAAAAGAACCTACTCAGAGTTTATCTTTAACCTGTTAATATTGATTGATACGTTATCTTTGAATTCTTCCAGTTTTTTTTTTTTTTTTTTTGGTGGTTTTTTTTTTAGCCTAAACCCTTTAACATTTATTTCCTAGGAAAATTTTTTGGTACAAAACTTTGCTGTATTCAAAACCTCCTCTGTCAAGATTTTGCATTTTTATATTTAGTCATTAAAATTGAACAAAATCTTAACAGTTCTTTTATTAACTACTATACTGACTTTATATAGTGGAAATCACAACATGTTAATTGGATTTAATTAACTATTTTAAATTACACAAACTCCTGACAGTAGTAGACAATACACAGGGTATTCATGAGCAATAAAATTGGAGCTGATATTGCTACTTTATTAAAACTTAAACTATTCATAACTTTATTGTTTACAAGAAGAAAAACCATGTTCACTGTCAAGGCAAAAGTGTTTGCTGAAACAAATTTTTTTTTATCTAGGTAAAGGTTCAGAAGTTAATCAAAGGGTCTACCATATCCAACCTCACGGTTCTGCCATCTTCTCGTCGCACAGATCCCTATTTCACTCCTATACAGGTCTTACAAGCAGATGCCAACAGAGGTTAGTGATTGAATAGCCATGTTATGTGACTATCCTTATAAGGAAATATGAAGCCAGAATTAATATAATTAGTGTTCATACATGTTTTAGTCTAAACTCTAGTCTTGTGAAACCAGTGGATTTTGTTTTTAAGCAAAGGATCTCATCTTTATCTCAGTATATCTAGTACCTAGAACCATATCCAGCAATTTGTAGATACTAAGTGTTGGTTGAGTGAATAAGAAAATAAAAGAATAAGCAAACGAGTGACCAGCTACTGAATGTCCTAAATGTAACCGTCTCTACTTTTCCCTGCTATTTAATTTAATTGACCAAAGTGTTAAAGAATTAGGTGGATCCCCTTTCCTATCTCAAATATAACTTAATGAGATGGTCTTTAATTACCCCTTATCTTACCTTCTGTCTGTTGTCTGGAATATCTAGGACCCAAAGCTGGTTCCCAAAGGTTCTTCTGGCACCTAGAAATTCAAAGTCCTCTAGCTTCTAGCTGCTGCATTCGCTGTCTGGTGGTGGTAGAGAACCTGAGATCATTATAAGTCTCTGGATTTGTTAAGCTTCTCACATCTTTCCTAGTTATATACCATTGTTCAGTGATCTTTTTGTCATATGCTTTCTAGTTAGCTTATGGAATATTTACTTCCTGGGAATACTGAGTAACACCAGCAGAGTGTTCTCATTTCTTGCTTTAATATAATCTTGTATTTTTCCTGAACCAAATTAGGATGAATGAAATAGTGAGTGAATGAATGAATGAATGAATGAATTTGTCTATCTGTCTGTCTATCCGTCTGTCTATCAGCTATGCTTTAGCATAGAAACAATAAAAAAAATTGCCACAAAATAAAGGTAAATCTAGAATTTTGGCAACTTCATCCAGAAAAGAAATCACATTTTCATTTCTAAATTATATTCATGAGAACACATAGCCTACCATAGTATTAGGGATTAATAAAACAATTAATCAGCATGTATTTATTGAGTACTTGCCATATGTCTGGTATTGTGCAAGATACTATGAATGTCAGGAAACCACAAGCCACAGAAATATAAATACAGTGTGTCTATTTTTTTAGGTGTTCCTGTTGCCCTTTAAGGTTGTTTAAGTCTTACCCCAGATCTACACAGGTCTGGAATGAGATGAAAGACTAATAACATGCAGAAGAGAGAAGCATTTTGAAAAATGCACTGTAAACTTTCCTACTTTTTCTTGAATACCTGGCTAAATCCAAAAAAGAAAGCTTTCCACCACCCCTCCATATGGCTAAGAATACAAGTGTTACTTTACATAGACCAGATTTCAGCTTGGCTCTGTGTGACCTGAGGCAAATTGCTTTCTGATGTTAGAATAAACTGAACTCTGTAAACCAGGCATGCTTGATCTGGCCCTCACCTACATCTCCGTTTCTCATCTCACTCAGCTCTTTCTACGCTTAGCCACCCAGGCCTTCTCTCTGATTTTTATCAGGCCAAGCACATTTGCAAATGAGGCCTTCACAAGTGCCTTTTCCTTTGCCAGTAAAGGTCACTTCCTCAAGCTCCTGTCCTTTTCCTTCAGAGATTATCACAATTTATCATAATGCATCTATTCGTAAATCTATTTAATATCTTCTTCACCACTAGAGGCTCCATGAGGTCTTTCTGGTTCACCACTGCATCCCCAGCCCCCAGAATAGTTCTTGACACATAATAGGCACTTTATTGATTAAACAAATAAACGGAATGAATGAACTTCCAATTCCTAATCTATTCAACAGGGAATTAAGAGTGGTATGAGGGTTTAATGAAACAATGTTGTTAAAGGATAACTTTCAAAAACAGCTAAAATCATGACTCTCATACAAATATAAAATGAACACAGGTCAGAGATTTTTATTTAATTCATCAATTCACAACCAGTTCAAAAGAGAATCCAAAGAATGGACACATTTGTAGATCAGGAATATTGAAGTAAATTTGCAAATAAATGCAAAATTGGATTTCCCATGAGAATTCCCCTTCACCAGACAGAATTTATTTTCAAGTCTATAGATAAGAATTATTTGCACTATGATCAGATATTTACAAAGTAACCTCAATCTCTACAGAGTTGCAAATAGCCTCATCAAAGGCTAGGCTCAGATATTCACTGGAGACTTCAGGACTCTATTAAAAGGGTATCCAGTGATCCCATTTGCTTATTCTAAAACTTAAAAAAAAATTCTTACAATCTTCTCCCCCTTTGATCAAAATGATCTCAAAAACCAAAAATTCACAAAATAAGGTTGGTCTCAGTAGGATTGGCCCGATAATTTTCATAGGTGGAGCAAGAATGTTCATTTCCATATAAGCCACCTTAAATTTGCTTTGTTGGAAGTTTTTCTAGGGAATCTCAGTCTAAATAAAATCCCCTATTATTTGCTATCCCAAGGCTAGGAAATCAAGCCCAAGGAATTCTGTTCATCAGATTTCAACTGCAGGACCTATAAATTTGGGTAAATTCCTCTCTTCTAGAAGTCCTCCAAATATCCTAAACTTCTTGGGACTACAGCATGTGACCTTCTTACCACCTATAAGGCTGGAAATCATGTAAGTCACATACCAGGCTAGTTTTTCTGAGAGGACTTTGTAAGCATTGGCTCTATAATGCATCAACCTTGATTCTTTAAAAGTGACTCATTAGCCAGGTGTGGTGGCAGGCACCTGTAATCCCAGCTACTTGGGAGGCTGAGGCACGAGAATTGCTTGATTCTGGTGCCTGGGAGGCAGAGGTGCAGTGAGCCGAGATCACGACACTGCACTCCAGCTTGGGCAACAGAGAGAGATTCTGTCTCAAAAAAAAAAAAAAAAAAAGTGACTTTCATACCTGATTTAATAGGCATTATTCTCAATGTAAAATTCTAGGCAAGGCCTTGGTTGCATAAGTGATTTTTCTAATTATATTTTAGTACAAGGAGAACAGCGTTGAAACTATGTAAATTACTATAGTGCCGTGAAAAGTAGAGACTCAATGAGAGTTTCTGAATTTGGGAGGTACAGGGAGCACATTCAAAGTATTACAAGTTTGATTTCTTTATTTTCTGGGAATTTTATGAATATTCAGTTTATATAAACACTTATTTATCTCTACAAGCCAATCAGAACAGAATTCCTTTAAGAGCCTTTATGATCCAATTTATTAATGACATCTGGAGACAGGAAAACATTCTACACTCACAATATGAGATTAGGAACTTTCTATATTACAGATACAAAGACATACAAATAGCCTGTATACCCTCAATTCTACAATTTCAGCCACAGGTAAATAGAGAATAAACACAGTGGGCAGGCGCAGTGGCTCATTCCTCTAATCACAGCACTTTGGGAGGCCACTGAGATAGATGGATTGCTGGAGTCCAGGAATTCAAGACCAGCCTGGGCAACATGGCGAAACCCCAACCTCAACAAAAAATACAAAAACTATCTGGGTATGGTGGTGCACCTGTAGTCCTAGTCAGAAGGCTGCGTCGAGAGGGTGGCTTAAGCCCTGGAGGTGGAGGTTGCAGTGAACTGAGATCATGCCACCACACTCCAGCCTGGCCTATAGAGTAAGACCCTCTCAAAAAAAAGAAAAAAGAAAGAAAGAAAAGAAAAAAGAAAGAGAAAATAAATGCAGAAACACAAAAAGCTTACCAGTCTAGATACCAAAGAGTTGTTCCCCTTCCTTGTGAGCAAGAAATTCCTAATTTGAGCTCAAAATGGACAGATGGATAAAAACTAAGAAACTGTATTCTCTATAAGACATTAGATCATTTCTAGAGATCACCAAATTCCCAATCATGGCAGCTGCCAACAGGGAATAACTTGCCATCCATAAATGAACTAAAAAGAAAAACAAATTAATAGAAAGTAAAATTAAAATTAGAAAAACAAGAAACTTTAACCTGTGGGAGCCAAGAAAAATCATGCCTAGGCTTGATTTTGCTCACCCATGCCGGGGTGACACTTGCGCTCATCTCAGTGGGAACTCCAAAACTGTTAAAGGATAATTTTTTTCAAAAGTAAAGTTATGACTCTTATATAAATATAAAACACATGTCAGAGATTTTATTAGCTTATTAATTAAGTGAGGGAACTAGTAAGATGTTACGATAAAAGGACAATCCAAATAGACACATTTATAAATCGAGAATATTTAAACAAATTTGTAAATGGATGCAAAAGTGGTTTTTCAGGGAGAAGAGTTGTCCTTCCATGTGAAAGAATTTAAATTTGCATGTGTATAAACAAGATTTATTGGCATTCTTATCAGATTTCTACAAATGAACCTTAATCTTTAGAGAATTATAAAATGGACAATTAAAAACAAAGATGCAGCCTGGCACAGTGGCTCACGCCTATAATCCCAGCACCTTGGGAGGCCAAGACAGGAAGATTGCTTGAAGCCAGGAGTTCAAGACTAGCCTGGACAACATAGTGAGACCTAGTGTCTACAAAAAAAAAAAAGCCAGATGTTATTTCAATAGTTTCAGCTACTTGGAAGGAGAAGGCAGGAGGGTCACTTTAGCCCAGACATTCAAGAGTGTGGTGAGCTATGATGGTGCCACTGCACTCCAACCTGGTCAACAGAATGAGACCCTGTCTCTTAAAAAGCAAAACAAAACGAAGATGCATACAGAGCCCTATAGGACTGTAGGTCAGATCATCTTCAGAGGTTCCAGCATTTCAATGAAAAGATGCTCAGTAAGCTCTTCTGCTTATTCCAAAGTCTTAACTTTTTCCTTCCAATAGATGCACACACATTTGTCTGAAATCAAGATACTTGCTTCAACCAGCACTAAAGCAAGGGTTGAAATTGTACTTACAGTCTTCAGATTTCTTGGAGAATGAAACTGACTCTTCAAATGAAAATATACTGAATTAGAAAGTACCCTGTTTTTCACATCTGCAAAACAGGCAGAGTTTTTGGAAATGGAATTTGATGTTTATAGGTGGAAAATATTTGTAAGGACAAAGAATTAGTCTAACAAGATTTTTAAAGTAGTTCAATCTAGTGTTATAAAAATTAAAACCTGAAGTACTAATTTCAAAAAGGTCCTAAAGTATTATGCTCTAGATCAGTAGTTCTTATGTGTTAAGAGTACAAAAGATTAACCTGGAGTGCTTATTTAACGTGTATATTACTGGGCCCCAGTTCTAGTGGTTCTCAAATCTCAGTATACATGAATAGCTCCTGGAGGCTTCAATAATGCAGATTCCCAGGCCCTGTCCTCAAAAGTTTGGATAGGTCTGAGTTGGGGCCCAGGAGTCTCCACTTCTAATAAGAAATTCTTCCCCCAAATGATTCTGCAGTATATAAACAGAAGATTTCCCTTTGGTCATTGTTTTACAAGTGAACTATTTTTCAGCTCTCCAACCTTCAGTGATCATTCTACTGAATTCCTGTAACACTCGACAACATTCTTCATAGTGTAGTATAGAGGTCATAAGGTAAATGGAAATAATATTGGTCCCTCTTAGAAGGGATGAAGTTGTATGCCAAATTCTTCAAGTTAGGCCAACGTGGAGACACAGTTTGTATTCTAGGATTTTACTGAGACCTAGAGTTCTTTACTTAATTTCTATTATGTAAAAGAGCAACGGGAAACTGAAGCCCTACCACAGATTTATTCCAGGTAGTCCCCAAGTTTCTAGGTTTCCGACTTCAAGATAGTAGATCCACCTTAATGAAAGTTTTTCCTCTGACAGCAGGCTTTGGTGAATCATTCATTGATTTATTAATTTGTGTATTTATTTAATGATGTCTCTTATCCTTTAAAAACTTTGGCATCGGCCGGGCGCGGTGGCTCATGCCTGTAATCCCAGCACTTTGGGAGGCCGAGGCGGGTGGATCACGAGGTCAAGAGATCGAGACCATCCTGGTCAACATGGTGAAACCCCGTCTCTACTAAAACTACAAAAAATTAGCTGGGCATGGTGGCACGTGCCTGTAATCCCAGCTACTCAGGAGGCTGAGGCAGGAGAATTGCCTGAACCCAGGAGGCGGAGGGTGCGGTGAGCCGAGATCGCACCATTGCACTCCAGCCTGGGTAACAAGAGTGAAACTCCGTCTCAAAAAAAAAAAAAAAACTTTGGCATCAGCCATGCTAACACAGTATCAATACTAGGAATTGTAAATTAGTTACATTAATACTATTTTGGTCGGTTTTATTAAAATAACTTAGCTGAGCATTTCTATCTTCTGGTGATATGAGAAATGTCTAAAAATAACTCCTTATTTTATAAAGCATGACTGATTATAAAACAGGGACACAAATTTCAGGTTTCAGGTACACAGATTTCCTTCTTTCAGAACAAAGGATTTCCTTAGTTATTAAGAATGTGTGCCTGATTTCTCTGAATTTTAAAAAGAGTAATAATATTACCAATGATTGAAAATATCGTTAAGTATAAAGAATTTTTAGTTTGCCTTAAAATTATATTTCCACCTTAAAATGAAACTACTTTAGTGCAATTTTATTTCATATTACTGCCATTAGAAATGACATTTTTCCTTGGGTTAGAATATTACATTTAAATGAATGTGTTCTGTAGCTGTTTTTTCATGCAGAGGATTAAGGCACTAGATGTACCCTCACAAATAAGATGATGAATGGAGTAAGTTACATTTGTGAAATTTATAGAGCTCGGACTTTGTGAAATTGCTTGGAATTAAACTCACATTCTATTAATGTTCCTTTTTAGGGATTTTAAGTCTGATAGAACGAAGGCTGATTCCACCAACAGCAAGGATTACCTTTCAGAATCCACCCATCATACCCAGAGCAGCTCCTCTGCATTATTTGAATGAAGCACGTAAGATTCCAACTGCAGGTGAGACACTCTTGCCTCTACGTTCAGTTAGGGACACACAGAAATTACTTTTGCCCAAAATCTAGCCTTTTAGTAGCCAACTTTTGTCCTCAATAATGGGACAAGATGAAAGTTGTAATCACCCTGAGTTTCACTTTAGTAAAGAAATTAATTTTAGCCATCTTTGTAAATTACATATTGAGGGCCTGTGCTCCCTGTGTCAGAAGGTTCGTATTTTCAAGGGGCTTACAGTTTGGTTGCGAAAACAAGATAGATATAATAAAGATAAATAACAATATAAAATAACATGGAATAAAAACCAAATGGACGTTAAGGTCTGGTGAAATAGGAGTTCAGAGTAATAACTGCTAAGGCTTGAGACAATGGAAGAAGATTTTAAGGAAAATAATGAAATAGGGTGTTAGAGAAAAGCACCAACCTAGGAATCTAGTAACTCGTTGCAGAATCTTGGACAAGCTATTTACTTTCTCTGGGCTGCAGCTTTCCCAGTCATAAAATGATAGATTTTGGCTAAATTAATTCATCTTTAATTATTTGTTACATAAATAAATTAATAAATATTTTAAAATATTTAAAAATTGTTTAAAAATAAGTATTTGTGGAATGCTTGTTTTATCCAAAGTAGCATCTAGGTGCTGGAGATCCAGCAGAGAATGTCAGACAACATATCTGTTCTCCTGGTGCTTATATTCTAGTGGGAGACAGATAAGCAGATACATAAATAAGAATTTAATGATAAGTGCTAGAAATAAAACAGTATGGGCTAGAGAACGATAATGAGGGGGCTACTTTGTTTGTGAGGGAAGTGTCAGGGAGTGTCTCTAAGAAGAGAGATGAGACTTCAGCTGAGATTTAAATGATGAAGGAGAGCCAGTCATGTAAAGATCTAGGGGAGAGCATTTTAGATATATGACAGCACAGGGACCAAGGCCCTGAGGACTAAGAGGGAATGAGCAAGAGGGCCAAACCATGAGCTAGGGAGAGAAAGGGAAGAGATGAGGGTGAAGAGGTGGAGAGGGATTACATGCTGTAGCTAGAGCAAAGACTGTAAGTTGTCCTCAATATTTATTCTTCCCTACCTCCACAGTAGTAGAGTTGTGGGTCCGCACATGTCATTTTAACTGACGACATTTCCCAGCCTTACTTGCAGCTGGGTGTGCCATGTGAGGAGGCTGTGGACAATGAAGATATTAAGCAGAAGTAGGCGGAAAAAATTCTGGGCTATGCCCTTAAGAGAAAAGAAGCATAGCCCGTCTTTTGCCTTTCCTCCCTCTAGCTAGCTGGGATGCAGATGTGATGATGAAACTTGGGCAAGCATTTTGGAGCCAGGGGCCCTGCCAGTTCAGGACTATCTTCCTTTGAACTGTGTATGAGAAATAAAGAACTCAGTTTATTTAAACCACTCAGTGTATATTAAGATCTTTCTTTTAAAATATCTTAGACTAAACCAGAACCAGCATGGCAGCCTTCCAAACCATAGTGAAGAGTTGCATGTAATTCTGCTGACAGAGAGAACCCACTGAAAAATTTAAACAGAGTCTGAGATGATCTGATGTATGTTTTAATAACCGCTTTGCAGATACCAAATCATAGGGGGAGCATGGAGTCTAGTTAAATGACTGTTGCCGTAAACCAGGTGAGAAATAATGTTGGATATGAGGAAGATGGTATCAATGAAGATGAAGAGAAGTGAACACATTCAGGTTATATTTTGGCAGAAGCATTAGGACTGGCTGTTGGATAGGAGTGAGGAAAAGAGAGGCGTCAAGGATAAATATGTATGAATGAGTATCTGTGAATGTGCATCAATTTTGTATGTATCCTGTTGATGGAAATTTTAGTGGTTTATATTATAGAGCTATTAGAAATAATACTTCTATGAGTATTGTTAAATTCTTTTTTTCTTTTTTTTTTTTGAGATAGAGTCTCGCTCTGTCACCCAGGCTGAAGTGCAGTGGCACAATCTTGGCTCACTGCAACCTCCGCCTCTCAGGTTCAAGCAATTCCCCTCTCTCAGCCTCTTGAGTAGCTGGGACTACAGGCGCATGCTACCGTGCCCAGCTAATTTTTGTGTTTTCAGTAGAGACAGCGTTTCACCATAGTGTTGAGGCTGGTCTCGAACTCCTGACCTTAGGTGACCCACCTACCTTGACCTCCCAAAGTTCTGGGATTATAGGCATGAGTCACCGTGCCCAGCCATTATGAACATTTTTGTACATGCCTTTTAATGCACATTTGTAGCTATCTTTTAATCCACATATGTAGCATTTCTGTTGAAGATACATTAAAAAGTGGAATTGCTGAGTCTTAGTGTTTATATATGCTCAGATTTAATAAATAGTTACAAACAGTTTTCCAACGTGGTTATACTTATTTTCCTATTAGCAGTATATGAATATTACAGAATATTCATCTTTGTCAACACTTGTTTAAAACTTTAGCCATCCTGAAGAGTCTGTTGTGGTATGTCTTTGTGGGTTTAATTTCTACTTTCCTGATGATCAGTAAAATTGAGCAAGTTTTTTTGATAATGCATATTGGTTATTTGATTATCCTCTCTTGCTAGGTGATTTAAGACTTTAACCCCTTTTTGACATTGGATTGTCTTTCTTTCTCTTAGTGATTTATAGGCATTACTAGATATTCTAGGTACTAATCTTTTATCAGTTATATGTATTGCAAGTAATTTTTCTTACCCTGTGGCTTGGCATTTCACTGGTACTGTTTTGTTTTTTTTTTTTTAACTTTTCGTTTTGAGATAATGGTAAATTCACATGTAGTTGTAAGAAATAATGCAGAGCGATCCTTTGTACTCTTTACACAATTTTCCCCAATAGTAACATATTGCAAAACTAAAATATAATATCACAAGCAGAATACTGATGCAGGCAAGATATAAAACAGCTCCATCACCACAAGGATTTCTCATAGTGCCCTTTGATAGCTATGCCCACTTCCCTCCAGCCCTACACCCCCTTAATTCCTGGCAACCAATAATCCATTCTCTGTTTCTATAATTTTGTCGTTTCAAGCATGTTTATATGAATAGGTTCTAAATGGACAATGCTACATTGTCCATTTCATCTAATACAGTACAGTGATTTTGAGGATTGACTTTTTTCATTCAATATAATTCTCTGGAGAGTCATTCAGGTTATATTAATAGTTTTTTCCTTTTAGTTAATAGGTCATATTAACAAATATATATGATTACATTAATGTTTTATTGCCATTATTGATAATTTAGTCCTTATATTAATAGTTTATTCCTTTTTATTGCTGAGGAGAATTCTATGTTAGAATGTACCACAGTTGTTAAACCATTCACCTGTTGAAGGGCATATGGATTGTATTCAGTTTTGAGCTACTATTAATAAAGCTGCCGTAAACATTTGTATATAGGTTTTCATCTACACATGTGTTTTTATTTCTTTAGGATAATTGCCCAGGAGTATAATTGCTGGGTCTTAACGATAATTGCATTTTTATTTCCTCTGCATTTATTTAGAGCCACATCATACAGTGTTACTACTTTTTGTTTTAACCATCAAATATAATTTAGAAAACTCAAGAAGAAAAGGAAAGTCTGATTTTTTTACCCTATTTTTGCTTATCATGTTCTTCCTTTTTCCTAATAGTCCCAAGATTTTTTTAATCATTTGCTTTCTGTTTAGAGAATTTCCCTTAGCCATTCTTTTAGAGTCAGTATCCTAATGAAAAACTATCTTCATTTTCCTTGAAAATCTTAGAATGTCTTGCTTTCCCTCTGTATTCCTGAAGGATATTTTCACTAGGTATAGGTTACTGAGTTGATAATTCTCTGCATTTGAAAAAAAAAAAGTTGTGCCACATTCTTTTGGCTCCCATGGTTCCTGGTGAGAAATCTGCTTCTGGATTATTTTTCTCCTGTAGATAAGGTGTTGGTTTTCTCCTGCTGCTTTTAATTTTTGTTCTCAGTTTTTAGTTTTCAGAAGTTGGACTGTGATGTATCTTGGTGTCGATTTCTTTAGGTTTGTTGTGTTTTAGTTTGGCTCCGCATCTTGAATCTGTAGGTTTATGTCTATTGCCAGATTTAGGAAGCTTTTAGTCATAATTTATTTGAGTATTTTTTTCAGCTTTGACCTCTGTCTCTTCTCTATCTAGGACTGTGATGATGCAAATGTTAGAGGTTTTTGGATATAGTCTCACATGTCCCTGAGGCTGTGTTCTCTTTTCTAGTCTGTTTTTTTCTCTTTTGTTCAGATTGGGTAATTTCTATTTTTCTATAGTCTCATCTACTGGATTTTGTATTTAGGCTACTGTAGTTTTCAGTCCTACAATTTTCATTTGGTTCCTTTTTATATATTCCGTGTCTTTGTGGAGACTTTCTTTTCCTCTTCTAAGACTATGTATTTCATTTGTTTCCAGACTCTCTGCAATTGCTTATGGAAGCATTTTTATGGCAGCTGCTTTAAAATCTTTGTCAGGTAATGCTAAGAATCTTGTCATTTCACTGTTGGTATCTACTGGTTGTCTTTCTTCATTCAGTTTGAGGTCTTTCTGGCTTTCTGATATGATGAGTAATTTTCAGTTGAAATCTTAACATTTTAAATATTATGAAACTCTGATTTTTATTTAAATCTGTTTTAACGAGTACTCCTGAGACCCCTATTTATTCCCTATCCATTTAAGGAATAAGTCCGATTAGTTGTGAAACATCATCCTATTTATGTTTTGCTGGATTTCATTTGCTAATATTTTGGTTTGATTTTTGCATTTTTGTTCACATGTGAGACTGGCCTAAATTTAATCCCTTCCTGTAGTGTTTTCCTTAGGTTTTAATATCAATGTTAGTTTTGCCACAATGAGTGAATGTGGTCTTTTTTTATATTCTCTGGAAGAGTTTAGATCCAACTGGTACTATTTCTTTCTTAAATGTTTAGAATAATTTAACAGTGTATCCATTTAGTTTTCTTTGAGAATAGGTTTAGAATTAAGGATTTAATTTCTTTAACAAATAC